AGAAGTCTAGCACTGAACCACAGCAGAGCTAGTAGGCAGAAGCGTGGCTCACTAGCCAACGCTGTGAGACAGCTTGCCAGCACTGCTGCTGGCTCTAGACAATGTTATAAATCTTTGATTTTGATAAATATAGAGAACCAGATTTCCAAAAGCTACTGAAAGCCAGGCCTATATGATGGAACCAGAAGCTCCTCCGAGTTCCTAAGGATGGCAGCACACCTTGGCCATGCCTCAATTTCATGATGGATAAGGCTCAGAGATGTACTGATCTCCATCTCCCTCCCCCAAAGTTGGTTTCTATCAGGAGTGAATCCTGGGCGCCTGGAACAAAAAATAATTATGGCAGGGGCCGCCAGCCTCAAGCCTGAAATCTCCAGCCCTCACATAATTCACACTAATCCATATGTAAATTCAGCGTGAATGCTGTCAGCACATTCTCCTCATTAGAATTCAACAAAACTTTAGGAAAACAATTGTTTTAGTAAAGGAACAAATGTAGCTACAGTACTGAATTAAGTCTGTAAAGAGAGAAATCTTCAACTTCACTGTTTAATTTGCACATCACTTACAAATCTACAAGGGAACCCAAAGCCCAAACTACTACCAGCACACCTTGAAACATGTAAAAGGCAAGACTAGTCATTAATCACAGAACAAAAATCTGAGTACAAGGGGAGAAGCTGTTATTGAACCGAAGGTGCATGGATCAAGGCTGGCCACATTCACAGCACGTGTGGAGGAACGCATCTGGATTGGCAGTGGGACGGCCATGCCCTCCTCACGCAATCCAGCGCGCGCATGCTGCGCTTGAGGGCCAAAAAGGGAGGGAGGAGACAGAGTCATCTTAGACCACATATGAGATTCATGGCTCAAAGATAGAGTAGACAGTTGCTGCCGGCGTGTACGAGCCATCACAAAAAACGAGGCGCCTGCCTCTCATTGAGAACGGGCTGCCATATGCGCAGCACGTGACGTAACATTTGTGATGGCATGCACTGGAAAAGCAGAACACAGGGAATGCAAAGCTGCCTGAGTCACATCTGCTTCTGATGCAAAATCCTTCAGATGCAATTTACTTCATACAACAATCATATCCATTCTGTGAGATATTCTGATGCACCCCAGAATCCAAACTGAATGCTACAAACTGTACTGAATACAGATTTGATTTTCAGCCACATATGAATCCTGTACAGTCGCAGTTAACATCCCTCCCTAGTCCCAAGCACCTGGCAGGTGCCCAAGTTAGAAGTGGTCAACCCAGGTTCCCTCAAATAAGAGCTGGAGAGAGGCAAGTTCTCACCTTGAAACATCTCCTAGAAGGCTCCCTCACTGTATCTATTGAGAGCTCAGAGGAAGTGTTAAGATGTGCTACAACAGGTAGTAAGAATATTTCCCATTAGTACTAAGTTACTAAAGGTAGACTCAGTGCCCAGAGCCTCTTCTAACCTGAATAACAGCTGATTTGTTCTGAATAAGAAAAAATGCCAGTCAGAAACCCTAGCCAATAACATGGATTACTCTTTTAGCGCAAAAAGTACATCCTCTATATTATTAGAGTGCTCTTCTACTAGAAAAGTTGATTTACAAGAAATAAAAAAGCATCTGAAACAGAAATTCTAGATGTTTTTGTTCCTTCTCTGGTTAAAAATCTACTTAGTCAAAAAGCAAACAAAGTTGGACTCACAGCTCCCATACCATACTTCAAGCCAATAAAAATACAGATGCCGGTTTGCAAAAGGCTGCGGCAGATGATGCAAAAGCTAAGTGCCTCCTAGCACGAGAACCACAGCGCTCCACGCTCCCTGGGAATGCAGATGTCACCACTCTACCTCACTCTTCTGGATGTGCAAGTGGCAACCGAAGTACAGGCCCCCTGAAAGCAAAGGCTTTTGATACGGTGACTGAAACCGGTTCAAATAAAAACATTTTCTCTGTTCTGTCTGGTGTGCTACAAACCAATCCTGGAAAGCTGTATTTGAAGATTTCCACAACAAGTTTCACTACATACCACTCCGGTTTTGATCTGGGGGTGGTGAGGGTGTCGGAAGGAGGGAGGTCTACCAACCCTCCTTCAAATTCCATAATGTTTTCTTGCTCCAGTTGCCTATAGATTCCAAAATCGGGAGGCACCACGTTAGCAAAGGGTCATTGGCATGCATCGCAGCGGAAAACAGGAAATATAATTCAACATACAGCTGTGAGGTAAGATCTTTGGCAGGAGAAAGAGACCTTTGGGAAGAAAGTGTCGCTCTACGAAGTAGCACAGTAACGTGGTCGAGAGGGGGAATGAAGCACAGGGGCAGAGATGAAGAAATGAGAGTGAGAGGAGTAGAAAAAGAAGCACAGAGAAAAAATGACAGTGAAAGAAAGAAGGCGAAGCTTACAGAAGAGAAGAACATACATAAGGGAAAGCATCTCTCAGGAGTAATAGTTCTTTAGTAAGGGCAGCAGCCACACTGTTATGCAACAGGACATACTGTTTTCTCTATAAAAAGAGTTTATTTAAGCTTATAGGAAATCTAAAAAAAAAAAATCCATGGGAGAAAATTATTTTTTTAAAAAAGAGAGTAACATCATATTTCTTTTGATTTTTAAATTGCTTTTTAGGTCATATTTCACCCTCCCCTCTCACCCCCCAAGTATTTTCCAGGATGGAATTTTCTTCTTCCCACTCCAGGATTTGGCGTGGGCAGAGCACCGCAGATGCTGCTGAACTCAGAAACCAAGAACCTGATTCATTCTTCCCTTGAATCTTGTGCTATCACTTAGACTGCGACCGAGCAAACGTCAAAGGCTGCAAGTCAGAAAGATAATGTCACACAGCTTCTACATTCACTTTGTCCGACTGTAATGGTGCTACAAGAGGAAAAGTAGAGATAAATCCAGTTCTGAATCCCTGATAGTTTGTCCAATAGTTGGTTAAGAATAATTCTTTTTCCTCCTGTTCCAGCAGGCTTACACTCTAAAACTCCTCTGAGTTTTGACTGTATGCAGAAGGCAGGTTTTCCCTAAGGTAGGACCAACAACCAGTTTTCAACTTCACAGAACAAAAATCCTTAAAACGAAGACAACCTCATACAACCAATCAGGAAAGCCCTTCAGTCTCACTGACCGTGTTCAACAAGTCCAGATTATTTTCTGCAAGTTTCCTTTCATTCCAGCCTCTGGTATTGTACAATCACACTGCTGAGTATCAATTCAGTACTCAAAAAGTATTCTCAGAATAAACTGTAAGTAGTCATATGACACAAAAGAAGCTGCCCCCAAGATAAGGGATACAGTGTTTGGATTTTTGAAGGCTGAGGCCACTTTGAGTAAGAAAGATTCCCTGCTTACTTCATTTTAGACTTTAAAACAAACAAAAGCTCTAACATTTTAAAAGGTTAGACACATTTTTTTACTCCCACTGTTTCTTAATAAAACACCATTTGTGTGGGAAACCAGCTTAGTGCATACTTTAAAAAGAGGCAAACAATTAATTGATCCAACATGTAGGCTGTTTTAGAGAAACTCTCTAGACAAGAACAAGCAACGGATCTTAAGTTTTGAAATAGCCTGAGCTTCACTTCAAGGGTCCACAAGCATGCCAAGCTCCTGCTACTTCATACTGCTTCGTAGATAATCTGTGATACTGAAAAGTACCAAAAAGTATAATCTGAACAGCTACTAAGCCAGGTGCAGGTTATAAAGCACAGTTTTAAGAAGCGCAAGAAGTTATGAGTTACTTGTCTCACAAAACCAAGAGAAAATACTAAAACACCTCCATCTTCCACCAGTCCTACCAAAGAAACACGAATTCGCCCAAATAAATGGTTAATCTCTCAAAGTGGCTACACACGAGAGGTTCCAAAAGCGCTACTTTTGCATTAACAGTATTATAGCATTATTGTTGGGCAACAAATTGTTTTTCAGCACATCCATGCTAGCTACTTTACTGTGGAAATTTAAAATGTCATTAGAACAACATCCTGTTTTCCAGCCTTTCTGTGTTTCAATTTACCCCAACTCTGCTAAGATTCAACTGGCATGAAACAGCTGGGCATGATTAGTTACTGGATGCAAACCAAACCGAGATTTCACAATAGGTGGCATTTTAGTCTCCATGGCATAGGCTGCTGGTATAAAAGACCAGTGAACCCTGGCAGAAAACACTGTCCCTAAACATAAATCTGGCGATCTGTTTTTAAAACAACATTATTTCAGATCAAACATTGTTACAAACCCAGTGTTTTTTGTGGCAACAACCCAAGGTTTGGGTTGTTTCCAATGACTGGATTTCTGCTCGATTCTAGTTGAGGAGCACACAGTGGGACCCGAGCACCCACGCGCTGACACCGCGAGCACGAACTCCATCGGAACGTTCACCTGGGAGAGCGAACACCCCCCCACAACACCCAGTCCTGGACATAAATCTCTCATATTCTCAATAAATCAGATAGTCGGCAT